GTGCGCAATCATTTGACACTGCCACGCTGACTTGTATACACGCTCAAGTTATATCTAAAAGATTTTATATTATTACTATTAGTACTCTATTAAACTAAACACATTTTTAAAAAAAGAACTTAATTTTTTTTTTATTAATAAACAAAAAATTGGCATACCTAATAGGTACGCAGCGGAAATATTTATTGCCTGAATATCTGAATGTGACAGAAAGTGACCTCTGACTACCCCTCATCTAATGGTATCTGTTATTTATTTAGAATATAATATCAAATGAAGGCGAATATAATAGACACATACAATGCAGTTTATTTATATTGCTTTTTATTGTTATTTTTAATGAGGAGTTTCGCGACTGACTCTTGGCCACAACAGAATATCAGTGTTTTGCTCTTTTAAGGGCAAAACAATAAACTCGAGTTGTGACCATTTTGTGTTACTATGGCACACGCATGAAGGAAGGGAAAGAAAGGAGATTGTTAGTTTATATATTTTATTTTTTTTTATTTGTGCTTTTTTATTTTCATTCTTTTAGCTTTAGCTTTAAATTTATTTGTTGATTTACAGTAAACACTATCATAAATATTATGAGTGCATGCTCGAATTTCTTTTTTAATGGATGATAATGGAATGGTTACTCTGCCTGCGTTATCGGTATACACGTGCGAGGTACCAGTGGGGGATGACAGATGGTGATCATTTTTTTTTTATACAACTTAGAATGGCAAACAAGCTGACGGCCCACCTGATGGAAAGTGGTAACCGTCGCCTATAAACACGAGTAGTATGATAAAGCAGGTCAGTTGGCTCATCTTGATGAACTTAATAATTAATCAACCACGATGGTTCACTAAATTCAAATCACTAGGGGGAACTGCGTGGAGGTCGACCTAATAGGGTATACTCGTATTGCTAGCAATTGGATTGCTGATTTCCGTTACTAAGCCTGCATGCTCGAGTTACACCCTTTTAGCACCTTTATATTTTACAGGTAAATCAAGGTTTTTTGTTTGTTGATAATTATAAAAAATATGCAAAGAGGTCGATTTTTAGATGCTATTTCTATCTATACCCATCTTTTAATTTAATAGTTTAACGATATTACTGTTTTCTTTTTAAATATCATAAACTGAATTAATTATATATATTTATATAAAAATACTAGAAATTTAGTTCATATTATTTATCAGAATAAATATTTCGATATCAAATTGAAATTTTAATTTCACCGATTTATTTATGTATTGTAAAGCTATATAAACATAATGATGAAATACTTTGTTATTTTCCAATTTAAAATAAATACCGTCAGTATTTTTAATGTGGAAATTTATAAAAATAATTGCAGGAAATTTAACGTTTGACGAATGATAAAATATTTATATATATATATATATATATATATATATATATATATATATGTATATGTATATTACTTTGCACTTATATATTAAAAAACACATAAAAACTAAAGATGTTACAGTCACAGTTAAAAAACTTAAATGGAAATGTGCAGGGCATACAATTAGAGGGAGAAATAAATGGAGTAGAATGATAATGTTTCGGTACACAAAAGACAAAAAAAGGAGAAGAGAAAGACCACATAGAAGATGGGTAGATGACATTAGGGCTGAAGCAGGTGGAATTTGGACAAGAATCGCTAGCAATAGAGACCATTGGAGGCAGTTGGAGGAGGCCTTTGATAATAAGCAACCAGACAACAGCAATTAAATAAATAATAAGTTGTTATAAAAAAAAATGTCTGAATAAAGGCTTATATTATTATTATATTATTTTGCATTCTAATTGTTTTTCGCAGTGTAACAACCAACGTGTGCCACTCGCATACAGTTCAAGTTTATTTTTTATTAACGTTTCTAATGAGAAAAGGTAAATAGTCCAAGCCTTTCTTTAATTGGCTTTCTTGTTCATGCAAACAGCGAATAAGTTACTGCCAAGTGCTTAATCGTACCTCGTATTTGACACATGCAAGGCTTGCATTATTGTAGTTTTGTATTGTTATAGTAGTTATTCTTAGGTTACGTAGTTAAATTTATTTAAGTTCGATCACTCGTATGACAGGTTGTGATTTGAAGAACCTAAATAGTCAAATAGTTTGGTTTCAAAGGAATGTTTCTAATGTATTTATATAAAAAAAAAATCTTATTAATTTTTTGTATTTATATCTTTAAAAGTAAATTGTTTTATTACGTTACCTAAATAACTGATCTTTTATTTTATTTTATTTGTATTAACTTAATTTTAGCATCAGATATCCTATTAATGAAATAAATGTAAATTTATAATGATTAATAGATAGGTCCTCACATTGTACCTCCTGATTTCTGACTAAGTTACATAAGTTTTTTTTATACAACTTAGTACGGCAAACAAGCTGACGGTCCACCTGATGGAAAGTGGTAACCGTCGCCTATAGACATGAGCAGTACCATGGACCTAACAGAGTATATTGTTTCACCCATGATACCCCCATGCGTTGTCATTCCTGAGGAGTCGGGTGTTATTCCTCTGTACCCAGTAAATTCACGCATTGAAAGCATTCCTCTATGTGAGCGTTACAATAAATAAATAAATTTATTTCACCTGTGTTTTAACCAATCTACTAATTTCTATTTCTATGTAAAAAAAAAAAACTAGTGATTTGGTCTAGATTTTTGAAATAGAAGACAGTATGATCGAAAATAATACACATCTTATATTAGGCACTTGCTGTAAATGCAGCTTTCCTTAAGTGAAAAACTTTTTAAAATCGATTGGGTTTTCAATCAAGTTTTTCTCTTTGTATATTATATAGATATAATATTACTATAGATAGACTATCTTTTATACCTAAAAGTCCCTATAATCACGCGTTCAATTCAATACCGACATTGTACACACCATCGTTGAAATTGGATAACGACATGCCATGACCTGCTATAAAATAGAACTACCACAAGTCGCATACACTCAAAATTAGTTCTTACCGCCTTGTAATAAGGCAGTACACGGTTGCATGCCTAACTCGGTCATATTTACGTAGGTGACATATCCAAATTTCCAATGGTTATGCACCAGCGTGGAAAATCACACGTCACCGTTCGCGTCTGAAGTTGTTGTGCGAATCTGTATGACGTCGAGTGGTATTACGTTGGAAATGCATGTCAGTTTGTTAGGCGGATTGTGGTGCTGGTGTACGTTATATATTTACTTTATTTACACTCGTCTGAACTGTTAAATTTATGTAATAGTGGTGCAGTAAGGCGTTTTAAACTGGTTTAGTCAAAAAAAAAGAGGTATTTAATTCCTTATCTCGTCAAGTCCGTTAGTTATGAACCGATTTTGGGAATTTTTTTTTATTTGAAATAATATACTTACAGATTAGTCACATAAACATTTTATCAAAATCGGTTAAGCAATTTAGGTTTTGTCACAATTAAAATTTGTTTATTTTCGTTGGAAACAATTTTAATTATTATATTAATCAAATTTATAGTCTAAGATCTGGCCGTTGAATTTTGCATGTACTTAAAAATAAAACTTGGTTTAAATGAAAGGATGAGCGAAAATATAATTAATGCAGGTTGTCAGGTGGCAACCCTTAGTTACGCTTCTTTTTTAAAGGCAAACCTATGTTGTCGTATAGAAAAAAGAGTAAACCTCCGTTTAGTGTAAGATTTATCAAGAAGAATCGATAGTTCTTGTAACTACAGGATCAACATACAGAATAAAACAATAGATTCAAGCAGGACTTGCGGCCATTTTTCAGGTAACAATATGTTACCGTGTTTAGAAAACAATAAATATCCGTTTGGTGTTAATCTTATCAAGAAACATAACGAGTTAAGCAAATTTACCAAAATCTTTACCTATTTTCAACTAGCAACAACTAGATTGCAGATAACTGAGAGCAGGCAACCGGCGTTGTATATTTTCGCTCATATTTAATTTAAAAAGAGTTTCATTAAAAAGTTTAACACCTGCAGAATTTAGTGATGGGATCTTAGACTATTAGGTCAATGATTGGTCTCCACAATAAGTGCAACCAAGACTATTTTTAATTTATGAAATTAAATAAATTTTGTGTTACTCAACTCATATTTATTTTTTTTATAAATTATTTAATTATATATAAATTTATTTATTTATTTAAGTATTTGGAAAACATAAACTTTACCACAACATCCGCCTACAACTATGTTCAGTCTGCTGTCCTGCTTCAGCCGTGTAGCAGCTGTGTTTCAGGTTTTTATCTTCAAGTGATAAAACATTATTCTAAAAGTAATTTTACTAACTAAATTGTTACTAACAAAATGGACCAAATTGTAGTCTCGTACTTCATATTATATATATATATATATATATATATATATATATATATATATATATATATATATACAGAATATAGGAACAAAGTACAACACTTAAGCAAGAGAAGGAAAAGTCGAAATAAAACCCTCAGTATACCAAACCGCTTGGCCAGCGTAGTCAAAGTAAGCAATTATTTTATTTATGGAGTAAGATTCGTGACCAGCAATGAAGAAATATTTAGTTGATTTTATAAGAATTAAAATTGTAGTTTACTAGGATTTTATGGTTACTGTTCAACGGAGTATTCACATATTCCATTCCATATATGTTCCATACTCAGATTCGTTTTAGAACGAATGCAAATATATACTCATTGTACTCATTTTACAGTACAATAAAGTATTATAAGATTCAAGATTCAAGATTTATTTATACAACTATACTACAAACAAACAAATCTATCTTCAGGTTTATAACGTTACAATATAGTAGATTAGGTTTATATTAATCTATGTAAATAACCTAACGCAGTTAAACTATGTAATAAAAAAAAGTCAATACGAATCCGAAGAATGAACGAAATGTGTATATTCCATGCAAAAATATTCAAAATAGCCTGTTTAGGCAGCCATATTATGTTGTTACACAAATGCGACACGCACGCCACCTAGCGGTGACTAGGTACTCACACGTTTCCGTTGACAGCGGCCGCAAGATGGCGGCCAAGATTCCGGCCAAGCGCACTCCGCAAGCTCCCCGGATCATTGCACAAAGCATCGCAACAAAATTGCATTCTCTCAACTTCCTTGCACAAAATTTTAAACTCATTTGCATAAATACCCTGTTCCGGGCACCTCGTAAACTTGCACCCGCGGCGCGCCACACAACCAGCACTGGCCACAGAGAAACAGACCATAGACAAAACACACACGCGCACCGTTAATTAGTTGACACATCGTTAATTAGAATAACGGAGCTATGTCTTCGCCGGCAGCGTACCGTCGAATGAAAACCTCCACCATGTTGTTACTGAATTTTATACTCCATCCCAGTCAGCAGAGCCTCCAAGTTTGCCTCCTTCAAATTCGTTATGCATACAGCACCAAGGGCTGTTGAATACCGTTCGCGTTTATTTATGAACAGGCAAACTTCTGGTGGCTGGTGGGACGCACGAAACACAATATAGGCTCGCCTCCCCGGCCGTGGCCGCTAGGGCCGCCGGCGCCCGCGGCACACACCACTAACAATGCATGCGATCGCTGAAAAAGGGCTTTTTATGTATTCAACTTCACAACTCTGTAGCTCATCTGCAAGTCGTATTATGGACCTAATTAACAAGTTAATATGGGCGATCCGGGGCCGCCGCGTCTGCGCACAGACCGACCGTTCATTCCGATTTAAACTCACGCGAATTTATAATCTACATATTGGAATACGGCTCTCTATCGACGCATCATTTAAGCGATTCGAAATAGCGAAAGGACTTTAGAAATTTTACGTTTATTTTGCATTCACCTGTACGAAAGATGCTTCGTGAAAGTCGTCTGTAGCATATTCGGGTGCGCCGTGCAGGGAGAGGCCGCGGTAGCGACTTTGCAATGGTAAGGAGCGTTCAGAAATTCCACCCCGCCCGACACCCCCATCACAAAGTATAATGATATCGTCGCCGGCGTTATTATGAGAGTCGTCATAAATATTTCATAGAGCAGAGGGCAGTAATGACCGAGTGACCGGCGATAGAGGCTGCCGCTAGTCGGACGGCTCCGTGAAATCACATGTCATTGCGCAATCGGGCTCATCTATATTTCTAATCCAAGTCTTCAGTCGACAGTATTAAGTATGTTGCTATACGCTTGTGAATTTACGTCGTGTCACTGCAGGGTGACTGGCAGATGGGAATAAACTAGATTATGAAATAGTACTGCTAAAAATCAATCAATTATATAGTTAATTTCATTATATTTTACGATATTGTATGAGTTATTTTAAAAGTTAATTTTTGCAAGTATTTAGGTAGTTAAATATTAGCAAAACATACTAATTTTGTTATCAATAGCAGCCATAGCCGCGACCGATATATGGTAGAACTACTAACGGTAGACTATATCCTATATATCCTTCTTATAAGAAGAGATCTATGTCCAGCTGTGGAAATTTGATAGGTTGTTTTATTGTGATGATGAAGATATTGAGATTTTGTTCATATCTTACAAAGATATTACGTTACATTACTAGATATTACGCCTACTTGATAGATATTTACTTAATAGTCACTAATAATTTACAAATCAACAGTTTTTGAATGAATAATGATTCTGTAATAGTATAACCATCTATGCTGAAACAACGAGAACGAGGTCTGATTTGATAGATACTCTTTATTGTTTCCTCCAAAAGATTACAATAGTAAACTTAATATAGTAACAAACAATTACAAGAAATAATCACAATGACAAAACAATGGGCGAACTTATCGCTAAAAGCGATCTCTTCCAGGCGACCTTTGGATGGAAAGGAGTAATTATAAACAGTTTGATCGGAGGCACGATGAAAATTCTATTATTTCTAAAATATAGAGATGTGATACATGTAATAATATAAATATATATCCCTACTTTTTTTTATACAACTTAGAATGGCTAACAAGCTACAAGCTGACGGCCCACCTGATGAAAAGTGGTAACCGTCGCCTATAGACATGAGCAGCACCATGGATATAACAGAGTATACTGTTTCGCCTATGATACCCCCCATGCGTTGCCATTCCTGAGGACTCAGATGTTATTCCTCTGTACCCTGTAAATTCACGCCATATTCCACCCTTCAAACCGAAACACAGCCATGCAAACACAACTGCTTCACGGTAGAAACACGAATGGAACAGAAGTACCAAAGCAATCGACTTTTGTACAGAGTCTCCCTCTGGTATATACTTATTATTATAAATAGTTTGATACGTAATAATATATTTAAACCATAATGGCAATTAACAAGAATATATATTGAAGTATGGTGTATGTATACAATCTAAGGTAACAATTTAACAATTGCAATACTGATTTGTTTTTATTATGAATGTTATTTTTTTATTTTATCTTGTCTACCTAAATAACAATATTAAAAATGGACATCCATTTTACTCTAATGATAATTATTCATTTTTGACATACTTATATTATATACAAAATAACTAGGTTATAATATTTTTAAAAATGTTTGCATCATACCAATATTTTGGTGAAACATGCACCTCGAAGTGTATACAACTGGACGTCTAATGTAACCATGTTTAATGCAAATAATGAAATTGAATTTGAATCATGTTAACGACTAGAAGAATTTCTAACGGTCGCCCTGACTGGATACTATCTTTTCGCCATCTTGAAAGAAGAGTTAGGTAGTAAATTTGAAATCTACACTGGACACTACATCAGAAGTCTGCTAGTCTTCTAGGAGGTGTAGTCGGGAGGTGCGGAGGTAGCTAATTACCGCCGGACAGTCGCCGTCCTTTGATCATGACTGCTTTGATCGGAGCCGCCGCTTGGCGACGTGCAACACTCCTTCAAGTAGTGCTTAGTAGCGAAATGGACATAAGGATATATGTTAGATATTTTTGTTTAATTTTTATGGAACATAGAATGCTAAACAACTTGACAAACCAGCTGATGGAAAGTGGTAACCGTTGCCTATAGACATGACATAAATGTGTTTTGGAAATTTATTTATTCTTATTTTCAATATATGGTTTTAAAAAGATTTTTGTTCATTATTTAATCATCATCGTCATCTTACTGATTACGCGTCCACTACTGAACATAAGCCTCCCCCATAGACTGCCATAAGGAACGGTCCGGAGTCACCTGCATCCACTGACTCCCTGCAATGCATTTGAGGTCGTCACTCAACCTAGTGAGGGGTTATCCTACACTTTTGACTATACGATGTCACCATTCAAGAACTTTACTTTTGTTTATAGTATGTGTTAAATAAACCAAGAATTACTTGTTCATTTAATTTGACGTATCCTTTGTTAATAGTTTTTTTTCTAGAGGAATAAAAAGAAAATGGTAAAAAGAAAAATGTTAGTAAACACGAAAGAAAATGTTCAAATTTCTAATAAATCCACTATACCAATATGATTTATAGTAAGAGAAAGCCATTTAAAATCATGTAAAAAGTATAAATTCCCTTTAAAATATCATGAAAACAGAGTAATTTTCTTTTTAATAAACAAAACGAATGAAATAAAAAATCTATACGGTATTTGGTACAATATTCAATTAATATTTTCGACTTGTCTCTCGCGCCATGTCCGCTTGGCTCCCGTGTGCAGCGCACGGAGTTCTACCGAATCTCCTTTGACAGAAAACTTGTTAGACTATGTATTAAAATTCAAAAACGACGCACGGAGCTCTGTCTCGATTCCTGAAAACATTATTCACAGGATTTGAATAATGATTTTGTTTTAGTCCCTGCTCACACCTCTTAATGTATGCGTGAAGATTGTAGGAGGCTGGGACCAACTTTGTAATGTGATTTTTGGTCGGTCTTAAATGGTTTTCAAACTTAATTTTGTGGGCATTTGGGAGAGCTGTTTATGCAAGAGTTGTTGGGAGCCTTTGTGAGAGAGAGCACTTTACACAACTTATGTTGTTATAAAAGTGGTTTACGAAATGTTTTGAAATTCGCTTTTGATAACGTATAAAGGGATTTGATGGAAGGAAATTTTGGTGGAAATTAAAATATGTAAAGTAATTTATAATTGCAATGAAAAAACGTAATCTACTGTGTGTGTTTTTATGGGAATTTGAATAATAATGAAAATTGTGGGCTTACCTGAAAAGTAACGGCAACCACCATGTATAGTTAACAACAATGTGACGCCCATGGTAACAATATTCGTTCCAGACGTTTATAATTTTGCTATGGTTGGAGTAAACTTTCCCTGTGCAATATATGTGTATAGGAGGGAAAGGGATTGTTAGTAATGGAGACTGAGAATCCCATTGCTAGCAATATACCCAACCAGGTCGACCTCCTCGCGGTTTACTCTGGAAACTATCATGGTTAATTCCTGATGAATTCATCATGATGGGCTAACTAGCCTGTTTTCATTCTCATCTATCACCCTTCACTGGTGCTCCGCCAGCGCATCTCATTAGCTCAGGCGGGGTTACCATTGCATTTTCACCCATAAAAAAAAATATGTATAATTTTTTTAATTTCATTGTATAAAATGCATAAATATAACAAAAGAAAGCAATAGGTATTCTATAGTTTCAATCATAACTATTAAATGTCGACTTAGAATACGCTTAATGCCTTTAACAGTTATGTAGCGAGATCAGAACTGAATTGCTTTTCATATGAACGTATAAGAAGGTAAATATAAAACGAAGTAATTGTTACAAACGCAGCCTTGAATTTTTTATTTATTTATTTATTCTTTATTGTACAATAAAAAATTACAACATATAATATATATAAAATAAAGATGTACAACAGGCGAGCTTAACTCTGTAAGAGTTCTCTTTCAGCAAGTCCTGAGTGGAAAGGAGCATTAATTACCAGCGGGCAGTGTGCGTACAATAATAGGAGGAAACATTATAGATGTTTATATTAAAAAATAAAAAATATGTCGAATTTAATAAAGTTAAGGATATAGCTACGTACATATATAAGAAATATTTATACAGGTATATTGATATTCATTTATTCAATAACAATCATATAATTGTGTTTGAAATAAGTTACAATATTTTATAAAAAAAATTAAATATATAACAAGTTCTAAATGTAATAAATAATATGTTTAGTATATATGTATATATATATATATATATATATATATATATATATATATATATATATATATATATATATATATATATATAAGGAAAATAATTATTGATTGTCAAAGTACCCTTGGTA